TATTTTTTTGGGTAGATGGAATGGGCTTATAGATTGTTTGAAGGGAAAAATTTATAAGTAAGAGGATAACTATCACCTATTTCAAAACTAAGAAAACAAGTTTGGAATTATAAAAATCAGATTTTTATTAAAATTNAAAATAATGTACTATTTTTCATTCATTAGATTTTTTTTAATAAGGTTTTAACGAGACATATTCTTTTTGTAATAAATGTTCATAACATACAAAACATTCATCTGCAAAATAATGATTTTATATTGTTATATGTATTAGCTATTTTTTTGAATCATCATGTTAACAAGGTCATCAAGTTTTGTCCCACTGAATTTTTTTGAAGACATTGACATACAAAATATCAATATTGAAGACGTTGACATACAATAATTGGATCGCTTAATACAATAATGGAAATCAGGAGAGTAGTTGTACTCTTTTTTATTCGTTCAAGTTTTGTTTCACTGAATTTTCTTGATAAAGTTTTAACGAGACAAATATTTTGTAATATGTCAATTAAGGGGGAGTGTTTTAAATGGTAAATTTATTAGTGAACGACAATTGTACTTCTATAACCCTATAAATTATTATCATTGTATCATTAATCATTCCATGTAAATATGAAATTTTGATTCTTAATAAAATATACAAAAGTTTATTTACTTCTCTAATTTTCTCTCTACTTTATAACAATATCTTTGAGTGTCATGGATTTTTTTTATGGGAAAAATTCATAAATAAAGTGTTTACTTCACACCCATTCAAAAATCAGGTTTATAGTTTGAAAATTCAAAAATCATGTTTTTTTTAATGAAATAATAAATTATTTAATTAATTTATTATTAAATATTTAATTCTAATATAATATAATATAATTAACCCACCCTACATGCACAATCCCTACCGCTTCTGGGACTATTCCGATGACCATTCCGACCACCACTTTTCTCCGGCGACCATTTCGACGACTGCTCCGATTCCGACAATTATTCCGACGACTATTCCGGTGACCATTCTGGTCACAAATTTACAATTTAAGGTTATAATTTAAAATTTTTATAGGTCACAATTAATTCGTTGGTCACATTTTTCAAAATTAGTTGGTCACAAATCAAAATTTATAGGCCACACAGTCATAGATTTCCAAATTAATGGTCACAGATTTTTTTACGGTCACAGATTATATAATTTTTAGGTCACAGATAAAAAATGATTAATTTCATTGGTCACATATTTTCAAATTTGTTGGTCACGGATTATTTTTCAGTCACATATTGCCAAATTTTTAGTTCACAATTAAATACTTGGTCACATATAACCAAATACTTGGTCACATACCACTGGCACTACTTCAGCCACCACTTACAGCCACCAAACAAAGCACGACCACCATCCCAAACGCCGATCCACCACCACAGATGCTACCACACAAAACACCTCAGACACAAATCAGATCCACCACCACCTTCGCACTATCGCCACAGCCTCCAGGACAACCACCACGACCAACATCACCACCACCCAAAATAACCAGATCCGCCACCATGGTTAAATAGTCGCTGCACAAAACACCACCATCACCAAGATCCACCACCACCTCCACCTTCACCTCCACCGCACCATACCTCCACCGTGCACAACAACTCACACCACCACCTCCACCGCGTACAACCACTCACCGCGCCACCAACCAGATCTCAACCCACACAAACCCACCACATCTGCACCACAACACAACCAACATCAACACCACCACCACACCACGACGTAAACACCACCACCACAACAAAAATTAAAAAAAGAAGATGAAAGGGAATTTGCAAGGACTAATTTGTGTTCAAAACAGAATAGATGGACTCATCTAGGGTTCGTTTGATTTGGGCATTCGATTCCAATTTTTGATCTGACGGAGTCCTACGATAGCTACACTAAGCGCGATTGTATGTGGCGGCAGCGGGTGCACCACCAGGAACAACAGCAGCCTCGGCATCGCCGGGAACAACAGCAGCCTCGGCGTCGCGTTCGATGCCACTGGGAATGACACTCAACACTGGAAATAATAGCAGCTTCGGCGTCTCGTTCGACGCCGCTGGGAACAACAGCGCCGCTACTACAACAGCTTCATCACTCAGTGGACGGTGGCATCTTCCAGTAGAGAGAATGAGATGAGAGAGAAGGGAGGGGGTAGAGAGAGAACACGTGAAAAATTATTAGGGTTTTAATATTAATATATTTTTTAAAATATAAAATTATTACCTGATTTTTGAAAAGTTATCTTCAAACACTTGGATTATGTAATTTTCCCTTTTTTTATTTTTATTTTTTTGGGTAGATGGATTAGGCTTATAGATTGTTTGAATTGAGATGCTAATGAATAGAAAAGCCCATAAACTAAGAAAGCACTTAGGCCCAGTAAGAATGGATTTAACTAGTGGAAGTTACACCATTAGCCTCCTTTCCTAAGAACAAATTAAATATGCGTCATCTTTACTCGTAATCATAATTATCAAAGTAATTAAACATTTGACAAGATTTACTCTATTTTGATTATAAACTTTTAGAACTCCAAAAGACCACCAACCCTAAATCCCTTCTTACAAGAACCATTACCAACCCCACCCCCGCTGTCATCCATACAGCGCCTTTCTGTCGTAGGTTGAACTACCTTCATTATTATCATTGTCCAGTCCAAAGAATAAAAATTAAATTCCGCCTCTTTCATTTCTGGTTTGGTTTGCCCACCTTGCTTCAAGGTGTAAGCTCTGTTTTGAACAGTTTGGGACCTTCGCAGCAAATTTACAATTAATAAACAGATAAAAATTAGCAGTAGATAAATAATTAGTATTTTTGGATTTTGAAGCCGTGACTAAAATTATTTGACCATTTATAAATTTTACCGAACGGGGGCAAATTATTGATTTTCAGTTATAATCATTTCCTTAACAATATAAAAGAGCGAGTTTTCCGTCCTGCACACGTGTCGCGATTACCTATCGTCAACGTCGTTTTTGCCTGTTTTCATTTCATTCTCAAAATCCGGCAATGAAATTGTCAAACTGAAGCAAGCTCCGAAATCTTTCAACTTTCCTTTCGCTTCTCAACCGCCAATAAATCGCATGAAAAATAGCAACAAGAAGTGGAAGCTTGCACGTGCGCTCACTAGTTTAAACAAAATCACAAGAGAAGGGTTGGTTGTAAAAGGAATAATGGACCTAACATTGTAAGAACTCTACCGAGATTAATCGGTTTAGGTGAACTGAAATCCAATCAATATATAGAAAAGAATTGAATATTTGAAAATGGGTAAGAAACCAGGCATATGACTGATTCTTCAAGATATTGAGTGAACAGAAAATGATATTTGAAGTCTACTATGAATAGCGATTCTTGATCTTAAATTCTTATCTTTTTTCGAATCAATGCTTGGACTTTTTACAAAACGTAGACAAAAACTGAACACAAGTTTCCAAGGCATCATTTTCTTTTTCCTTTATCAAGCATCTGAAACCAACATCCAACAACCATTTGCAATAATGGTGACTTTTACCAACACCACACGATATCTTGTACTTAAAAGTCATTAGTTTTATCGCTTGTGAACCAACCGTTGAAATCCAATCGCTCATTGCTCTTTAATTCATTTGGCACAAAGCAAATAATCTCATATATTAAGAAAATATTATGTGATAAAAGTGTCAAAAATATGTTAAGAGAACAGCAAATTAGAACAATTTTCGATTTAAAACTTGTTATTTTCACTTATGAATTATATTGTCGGCTGTTTTAAGCATACAACCACCACCAATTGGCACTAATGATAGCTTTTGCATCATTCTTTTTCTTCATTATATAGCGTGTAGAGTAGGATGTACTCGTGTCGCTATCTTATTGGTTGTCTTTCCGATCAAGTATTGACGCATTATTGTACTTCGATAATGTTAAATGTAGACTCCTTCCTTTGCATTAATTTGTTTTTTGAAAATTTTGGATGAAAAATTGTTTTGCTTTTTAAACTGTCCAATGATATTTTTTTCAAGTGGCACAATATAAAAAATGATGTAAAAGATCATGTACGTATAACATTATTGATTATACTTTTAATACATGTTTGATGGAAATTAAAAATATATTTTTTGCAAATTTTGATAAAAGTTAATAAAAATGTGGTTAAAAAGTTATGAATTTCATAAAATATGTAGTTAAAATTAATTTTTTATTTTGATTTGAATTAAAATTAAAATTTTAAATTTCACGGGTATTGAAGTGTGAAACTTTATTTGGATTAATTGAAATTTGGACACATCCAAACAACAATAATATGTCGAATTCTGATTGGAAAACAATCAATAAAAACAACCAGATGGAACGTAATGGGAAGAGGACCGAAACATGCCACTGAAAGACTCTACAGACACAAAAATGGGTTGTCAAACACGAGGGTTGCGCTCGTTGCGGGACTTAACTCAACACCTTATGACACGAGCTGACGACAGCCATGCACCACCCATGTCCATGTTTCCCAAGGCACGACTGGAGTGGGAGAGTCAGCATCGAAAAGAGGATTCCTTACTTCTTTCTCTCATTCAAAATCGCGTGTGAGACTTTCATCACACACTGCTCCTAAGTGATAAATCCGCCTACTCGACTTCTTATATTTAAATTAATTTGTGTATCTATCCCAATGATACTATTGTTCCGTACCATCATGGAAGAAGAGGCGCATAATAGATCGATATGAGCATCATGAGCTATAGACAAATAGTGTGTAGTACTTCGTATTGAACATGATAAGTCTTAATTCAATTTATTTAAAAGTAACATGTCAAACAATAGATCTGAATAAATTCGATTAATACGTAGAACATATTATGCCCAGCTAAAAAAATGAAATAAAATCTCAATCAAAGTCAAAATAAATTTAAATCACACATGTTACCAAAATCTTAATAATCAAAAGTTACTAAAAATTAATTTGAAATTCATGCTAAAATAATAATTGTAGAATTTAAAGTGTCAACTTGAGGTCTAATCCACTGGATCCGTTAACCTCGTCGTCTTTCTTAATAATCTCGTTTCCATTATTACATGGAGACGGCAAAACGGAAGAAGGTCTTCTGAACTCAACCTCTGTTGTAAAATCTTCCCATTGAAATGCCGGCACCCAGGCGGAGGTAGATTTCCGGTGGTGGTCGTCGGAATCGGAATTGGACTTCCTCTTCCTGTTATTGTGCACCTTCTCCGTTTGATCGTTCAATTGGTTCCTTATATCCCTGATATTTCTGATCAATGCAAAGAATTCGTCTATCTTCGTCTCATCATCTTCAGCGTCTTCTCCGGCATTTCTCTCTACAGAGCGCTTCTCGTTTTCCATTTTTGTGGTGCTCAGAATTGTCAGAAAGAAGAAAACATGCGTTCCACAAGGTTGACGTTTTTCAATTTGTTCTGCTTGGTGAATTTATAGGGTGAAGATCTATGCCTGTGACGGAACGGCCCCCACAATGACTCGCAGATTTTTTGATTAGTAAACAGTTCGCACGCAACGACGTGTCGGGTTACGTCATAACGCTTACGTTAAGGTGGTGTTCTATTCTTCTCCAAAGTCGTTTGGCCAACTCTCACGTCTCATGGCTGGCCTAAAAATGATTTTAGAAGTCAATTATTTTTTTTAAGAATTTAATTTTTTTAATAAAACCATAACCTTAACAAAAGTTAATTTTAAACGTGCTTTAATAAATAATGATATTTAGAACTTAATTAATTATTTGACTGATTCAAATTTGAGTTACTTAAACCGGTTTTAAACTTTCAATACGTAGATTATTCGTACAAATTATGTATGAAGTTATGACGTATTATATTTTAGTCAAATTTTACATTTGATATATGTTTTTGATACAAATTATTTGTTGATTGATTAGTGTTAGATGGAAAATTGGGAAATAGATTGATTTGAACCCACCAAAATCGTTGTATATATCATGTATGCCAGCTACAAATGATAAAAACGGTGCTTAACCCGTGTTTGATTTAGATAAAAATTAAGTTTTTAGTAGATTTTGATTAAAATAAATAATGAAATGTGTATTTAAAAAACTGTAGTTCCCATGAAGATGCGTAGCTAAAATTATTGAATTTAACTTTAATTTTAATCAATTTTTTTATTTGAATCAAACGTGGACAAAGAAATAAAGAGCAGTCGACCAACCACAATATGTACAAACGATCTACATGTTTATCTATGTTCAATACAATATTTCTGTTTGGTGGGTATTAAAATCAGATTTTTAGTAAATTTTGATTAAAATTGATCAAATATGTGATTCAAAAGTTACGAGTCCTATAAATATATAGTTAATAATTTGACTTTATTTTAGATTAAATTCTAAATTTTAATCCTACCTAACTGGGACGATATACCGAAACAGAAATATAATATTTAGGGGTGGGCTCGGGTCGGGTCGGTTCGGTTCGGTTTTTTTCGGTTCCAGGAATTTTTGGGTATTTAATAAATGGAACCGTCGGTTCCAAATATAATTTTGGAACCGTTCGGGTTCGGTTCCGTTCGATTCAGTTCCGTTGGTTCCGTTCGGTTCCGTACTATAATTAAATTTTTTAACATTTAAAATAATACTACATAAATACACCTGAAAGTAGATACTAATATTGATAACAAAATGTAGATATAAATACCAAGTTTAATCTTAACTTTTACAAATTAACGTAATCTAATTTAATAACATATAAATAATAAGTTGTCAAATACAAATACGAAAAAGTAAATATTACTAATAAAACTTCGATAATTCATATCAATAATTCATTTGTTTCAAACATTCAAGTCTACATAAAAATGAAATATAAATTAGAAGTAATAAAGATAAAATATTTTAAAGTATTGATAATACTTACCAACTATTTAATGTAATAATCAGTTGCTTGACTTTCCATACTAACTACTAAGAGACTATACAAGAAAAAATTGAAAAAAACACAACTAACAAACATAAATAAACTCTAAATTGTTTAACTAATAAGATTTAATAAGAAAAAAATTATTAATTTATTTAAAAAAAATAAAAGAAATTGATTTATCCAATATAAAAAAAAAAATTTCGGTTCTTAATCGATTCTTCGGTTCTGGGTCTAGAATCGAGAACCGAACCAAACCATTCGGTTCTCGATTCGGAAACCCGTTCGGATATTTCATTTAAAAAAATCCGCTCGATTCGATTCGGTTCGGATATTTTGTCCAGCCCTAATAATAGTTGTTAACATGATTTAGGACGTAACATACGAGGCAAACGTGGGACGGCAACATGAGGAGCGTGTACGGATTCAAACTCAAGCAAATAGCAACCCAAAGGCCTTGGACCTTTTTGTACGATTGGTCCCCAACCTAAGGCACTTGTAATAAATCAGGACTTATTCTTTCATTCTTCGCCCCTGTCTAACAACCCTTTTTAGGGAAAAACAATTATTTGAATAATAATTTTTAAGAGAATGTGTGATTAAAAAATAGAGAAAAGTCTTTGGTCTACATGCAGAATATTTTATTGTGTGAATGTATGGTTGAAAATGAGTATATAAAAAAAATTGAAATTAATGTTTGTCAAATAGAGGTTTAGAACAAACTACAATGTCGTCCTCAAATTTTCGGGTATTTAGTAAATGGAATCGTCGGGTTCACATTTAATTATGAAACTGTTCAGTTTCAGTTCCATTCGATTCGATTCGATTCTATTTGATTCCCGAGTTTTGTACAATAATTAATTTTTTTATATTAATTCGACTACGACATGTTCAATCTTAACTTTTACAAAACAATGTTGTACAATCTCATGATATCTTTTACACATCTCTTTGTTGAGTTTTTTTTTTATATATTTGATTATTAAAATCACAAGAAAATGAAGATGACGAGTTCACAATAATAAAACGGCAAAAACGACACTACAGTATAATAAGAGATTTGGGTAAAATTTAGATCAATTTGATTAAATTGGACTGGCTGAAAATTAGAAATAGTAAAATCATATCTTGAGTTTAGACTAAATTAATTAGTTAGCAAATTTATTTAGAAAAATAAAATAATTTGACTTATTTAAGATAAAAATAAAAAATAGAGAGATTCGATTCTTCGATTCTTGATTTAGAACCAAGAATTGAACCAACCCATCGGTTCTCGATTCAGATACCCATTCGAGAATTTAATTTACTAAAAATCGCTCGATTCGGTTCATGTCCGGTTCGGCCGATTCTATTCGAAAGTTTTGTCCGGCCCTAACAGAAACGGTCATTTTTCATTAAATTTGTTCTCACATTATTCATTTCTAAATAAATTAAAAAGAAAAAAATAGAATTATATAATCCCCATCCCGCCCCTCCCGTCATCGCTGCAGCCAATATCGACCCCAACCACCACCGCACCGAAGACCAGTCAACAGCTTTCCTAATGTGTCATTTCCTGCAAAACCAAGTGCAGTAATGTATATGCTCATATTTTGTTTTAACAAATAAGAGTTTGACATGTATCCGAGTTTCTTTCATAGTAATTCGGAACTTTTTTGTGAATAAACAATGGATTTCATAAATACTCGAAGTGTTATTCATTACTTTTGCATATTTCACTATATGATTATCGGTTTAGTATTGGTTCATAATTTTCGATTTTTGACAAGATGACCTCTACAGAATCAATCCATTTTTTATGAAACTTTATCATGTGTTTGAATCCGACTATTTGAAGAAAATCGATTTTTTGGCCAGCAAAAGTGGGCTTAAATAAATAAAATAAATTTGTGTGGTAGAGTAACAATAATTTCTTGAACATGTATTAACCAACTGTCATCACCCACAGAGGTGGATCCAGCACCCGACGAGGTGCGCGGCTGCACGTGATGGACTCCATCAGAACAGTGATATGAAGTGAGGAAGAATTAGACCGGCGCGGGAGACTGATGCGAGGGGTTTTTTTTCTCTTTTTAGTCAGTGATCTAAATTGTCCTGCTAGAAGGAACGGCGTTGATCAACATTTGGGTTTTTTTCATTTTTTTTTCCCTCTTTTAGTTCTTTTGTTTTCAGATTTCTATTCATAAAATTGCACGTAATATAGTCTGTGATGCTCGTGTTCTGGTGTATAATTGGTTTTAATTTTTTCGCAAAAAATTACATTAAAAAATGGGAAAATCCATATAAAGATTACTTCGCAGAAAGTTTCTTATGGATTTTTTGTCATTTTATATTTGTGACATTGGGTTGAAAAGTTTTTGTTTCAATGGTTTCACGTGCAAATCGAGTTAGGAAATGACTTTAAGGAATTATGGAAATTTATTTTTTAATTCTTGATGAAATTTCTAGAAAAAAAAAAATTTTGCATTTTTTATTTTCAATGTGGGCTTTGGCTTGAATGAAGATATGAATATTGATTGAATGCTTTGCTTTTGTGCAGAAAGTCTGGTTAGATAAGGGAACTGGAAAGACTTGTATGTCAATATCTTTGAATGGGTTTGCATTTGGCAATTACAGGGATTGATGATCGGAGATACTGGAGTCGGATTCTGACTAAGGAGTCGAGGTAAGATTCAACACTCAACATATATTTCCGTAAGTTAAGATGAAATTGGAATTGGTTATTTGTTGATTCATATGGTTTTAGATTGGCTGATCAAATCCAACGGTTTCTGGGCATTTTTCGATGAAATCTTCCAAAAAAAATGTTATTTACCGTTCATTTTCTTTCCACAGTTTTGTGATGCTCTGTTTTCGACTCGACGGTCAATTGTCAACAATCAACATTCAATCCGTCCGCGCTGGACTTTTATATTTGATCCGCCACTGATCACCCATAACTTAGTGTGAAGAAAAAAATCGCATCTAAACTTTGATAATGCAAGTGTGCTGGTCCTTATCAACGGTAGAAATTGTATTTGATGGAGTAATAATCTGATTAAATGGAGAAATAACGAGGAAGTATCAGTGTATAACTTCCATAAGAAGACAGATGAGAGAGAGTTCTATGATGAGATAGAAAAACGATTATTTTTAAGTCTAGGCTTGACTTAAAAGGCTTGAAAGTCGAAATCACGAGCAACGATGAGACAAGTATAGTCTACTTGAGGTCACGCGTTTCCTTTAAAATTGTTAAATTACTTTTTCTACGTCGTCATTTTGAACTATAAATTCCCACAATAAAATAATAATCATGCTACATAGGCATATTGTTTGACATAATATTACATGACAACTTATCATTGGACTGTTTAAAATATAGTCAATTTTTTTATACAATCACATCTTGTTAACACTTATTATGTTACTCTATCTCTCACCTATTTTATGGTAAAGTGACATTATTCATAAAATATTTTACAC